TTTGGGCCAGCCCCAAAATGACATGTTAGGGTCCAGGGGCAGTTAGGGGCCATGAGGATGTCGATTATACATAGGCATTAATCACCTTAACAACTGTTTGTCCTGGCTACCATGGCAGAGATTTTCCACTCCACTCGAGCTTGCGATAGGGTGAGGCCCAGTGTAAGTAGGAGCTCATTCTAAGGGTCATGCAAGGACAAGGAGTGCTGCACCCTTAAATTTTGTGCCCTGGGCACTTGGCTTGCTGCTAGCACCATCTCACCTTGATGAGGCAGCATACTCCTGACTCTTCAGAGCCTTCCCTCACCTGTCCTGTTGCAACACATTCTCTCCCTCTCAGCAGAGCTGTCAGTGGTCTGTTGTTAGGATGTAGTCAGAACTTGCTGCTATGCCTCAAACCCTCTGGCCTCGCCATCTGCTCAGTAAGCCCATCTTCCTCCTGGCTTTCTCTAACACTTGCCATTCTCATGCCGCTGTTTCTACCTCGGCTTCTTTGCTGCCCCTCACAGGTACCAGCCCTTTGTGCTTGCTGCCTCACAGTTTCCTCCCTTCGCTTCTTACAGATCCTTCTAGAAAGATCACCTTCTCAGTGGGGTTGGCCCTGACCCCCCTCTTTCACTGTGCACCTGCTCACCCCCACACTCCGGATGCTCTTTCTGCTTGATTTTCTCCCTGCCCCATTTGTTTACTCGCTTCCGGTCCCTTCCCGCAACCAGGAAGTGCCCCTAGGGCAGCAGGTTTCCTGTTTCACTCAAGGCTGTATGCACAGCACCTAGATCAAGACCTGTCACTCAGCTGACATTTGCAGGTAGATGGCAATGCCTGGGGGAGCCATTTTAGACTCCTCTTGGGCAGCTGGTGCCCCAGACTCCTGCTGGCAGCCTGCACGTGACTCCTGGCCCAGCAGGCACAGTGACCAGGTTCTGATCTGAGGGCAAAACAATAGTGCTCCGTACCCAGAAAGCACACTCCCCAAGTGCCTTTGTCTTTTTTGGCCTCAGCTCATCAGAAGCTTTGTCACTGGAAAACTAACAGAGCCCTCAGCCAGAAAGGTCGGCTGGACCTTCTGGTTATTTCAGCTGTTTTCAAGGCCCTCTAGCAGGGGGCTTGGCCACAGGGAGTTCCCCCAGGGAGCCAGGGTCAGGTGGTGAGGTGATGGACTCCCAGCTCTGGTATTCAGACACTGCAAAGCACATCTTCAGGTTGCCTCATCCTGTTTGCTTCCCAGGCCTTCTGGTCAACAACCCACATGTTCATGCCACTTCCCTGAACACCTTTATCTAGAAACAAGCCTGGAATCCGAAGAGGAGCCAAACTTTAGCAAACCCAGCAGTTCTGCTTTAAGACAGGGGTCATAAAAAAGAACAGGAATCATTGCAAGCTGTTTGGCAGCTCAAGTTCACTCTGCTGCTGCCAGAGGAGCAATGAGACGAGGGCAGTGGTTCATACTTGTGCTCAGCAGGGATCTATCCTCGTCAGCTCTGCTCCCATGGAACAGATGGGCCTGCCTTGTGGGGTTTGTGGAATCAGGTGGTCGAGCACCTTCCAGCTCACTGGGAGGAGGGGGGAATGCTTTATTTACCAAAGATGCCCCCCTTTTTCCTTAGCCCACAGGAGCGTACCTTGCTAGTGTCTCCTTTCTTTCCTGAGAGGGGGAAGGTGGTGGGTAGAGAAAAAATTGGGGAAGTAACCCCAGACAAGGCACTGAGCTTAGAGTCTCAGCTCGGACCTGTTAAAAAGAACCCCCTCTCCATCTTCACTGAGGTATAGTCAACAAATATGTATGTATCGATGGTGTATACCATGATGTTTTGATTATGAAAGGGTTACCACAATGAAGCTGATTAACACGCACCTCAATCCCCTCATGTATTACCATTTATATTTTTTGTGGTGGAAACATTTAAGATCTACTCTCTGAGCAGATTTCAAGTTTGCCATACAGTATTATGAACTGTAGTCACCATGCTGTCCATTAGCTTTCCAGAAGTTACTCATCCTGCGTAACTGAAAGTTTGTGCCTTCGATCAGCACTCCTGGTTTCCTCCCCCACCCCCACCCCTGGTGAGCACCGTCCTGCCCTCTGCTTCTGTGAGTTCAGCTCTTCAGAGTGCACTCGTAAGGGCCATCAGGCAGCACTCGCCTTTCTGTGCCGGGCTTATTTCACCTGGCGTAATGTTCGCTAAGTTCATCCAGGTTGTTGCAAATGACAGGATTTCTTTCTTCTTAAAGGTTGAATAATATTCCATTGTTTATATGTGTTATGTACACAGCACATTTTCTTTATTCATTCATCCATTGATGAACACTTAGGTTGTTTTTGTATCTTGGCTATTGTGAGAAATGCTTCCATAAACACAGGGTGCAGGTATTTCTTCAAGATAATTATTTCATGTCCTTTGGTTAAATACTCAGAAGTGGGATTTTTGAATCCTATGGTCATTCTATTTTAATATTCTGAGGAACCTCCATGCTGTTTCCCATAATGTCAGCTTGGATCTTTTTTTTTTTTCCAGCTGGAGCTTAATCAAAGTCTGTGGCTTGGAGTCCATCCTTAGACTGTCTGGTTTGCCTTTTTGTTGTAGTTTTAAAAAAAATAAAGGGGGAAAGGATTAAAAGTCTCCCTTGAAGTGTGGGCATGAAGGATAATGCAGTGGAGTGCTGGATAAATTAGTTTATTTCTATTCTATGAAAATATTACTACTTAATGATTCACTTTAAAAATCCTCAAGGGGCCCTGGCTGGTGTGGCTCATTGGATTGAGCACGGGCCTGAGAACCAAAGGGTTGCTGGTTCAATTTCCAACCAGGGCACATGTCTGGGTTGCAGGCCAGGTCCCCAGTGGGTGGCACATGAGAGGCAACCACATACTGATGTTTCTCTCCCTCTTTCCCCCTCCGTTCCCCTCTCTAAAAATAAATAAATAAAATCTTGTAAAAAATTAAATAAAAATAAAAACACTCAAAGGAATGTTTTATTATGGAATTCTTACGCGAAACAATTTATAGGGTCCGGCACAAATAATGTCCTGTTTTTATTACATAAAAATCCTTTATTACATAAAAATCATAAGCATGTAATTCTGTAACATAACAATGTCACACTCAAGTGTACCATATGGCATTTTAGGTGAAACATTCACCTACCCTACCCACCACACTCAGTGGTGTTACTTCTGCCGGACCCTGTACGTTCCACCTTAATTTTAGCTTCTTTCTTCAGTGAACTGGGTTTTTGAAGTCTTTCCGTGTTGAATCTTTCTGAAATGCATTAGTGGCCACTCCAGTATTCCGAGCTAAGGCGCTTTAAGAAGAGAAGCTTCCTGTGGTTGTTGCTCATGGTCAGGAGCCAGTGGAATGAGGCCGGGAATCACCCAGCAGGCCCGCGAGGGTTTGCGAGGTGCCCCCCCTCGTGCACAGGCTCTTTCTTCCAGATAGGAAAGAGCCTTCGGGGCCTCAAGATCAACAAATACCAGTTGAATCTAATTGACTTTGAAATGATAACTCTCCTTTTAGAAAACAGAAAAAAAATTGCATTTCTGAACAATTGATTCACTGGCCTCCAGATGACCATGCCTGTTTACTTGGACTTGCTTTTTATGGTGAAGTGTGCATCTGCCCATCCTTCTGAGTTTGTCCGGGTCTTCCAGAATTTACATGCCTTTGAGGCGCCCCATCCATGCGGGTTGGCCATGGGCTGGCTTTGCCGGCCGTGCACTCCTCCCCGAGGTGGCGGTCACCACTGGAGGTAGAGCCGTCACCGCCCAGCCCTAGCAGCGTCTTCGCGTGTTCCAGTCTGGTTCTCCTTCAGTCTTCTCCAGCGTTTGGGTGTTCTGCTGAGCTTTTGATCTGGTCCCCAGTTTCAGGCCTTTCTCTCCTTACTAATGGGAAATTGAGGGCTTTTATGTAAACTTGAGGTGATAATTTTATTTTATTTTATGGTTCCTATTTGTAACCCGTGTTGAAAGCATAACCTTCAACTCCTGTCTTTCAAATCCGAACCCGATTTATTGCTTTGGGGCTTGTCCCCTGGGGCTGAGTCACCTCTGGTTCGGTTAAGCATCCATTAGGTTTGTCATCTCCAGTTGGGTTAGTTTTTTCCTAGAACAAGAATCAAGATGTTTTCCTTTTCTGAGCATCTTGGTAAGGAAAGTGTGATGCAGAGACCAGCAGTGCAGGACTTTCGGGGGAGCGTGTTAAACATGCAGAGCCCAGAAGCCAGGCTTACCTCCTGAGCCTGCATTTTGGTAAAATCCCTGGATGATTTCTATGTACATCCAAGCATGAGAGACACTGGCCAAGCATGTCTTTAGATCTACTTATTAAAAATTACATTGTCAAGGTGTAAAAGGACACAGTTCCATCAAGAAATAAAGTATTTGTTCTTACCATTTTATTATGAAACAGTCAAAGACACGGTAAAATTAAAAGAGTCTACAGTGAGCCACCATAGGCTCTCCACTTAGATTCTACCATGAACTTATTTCTTTACATTTCCTTTACCCCCCATGTTTTTGTTGAGAATTTTGTGTAGAAATGTTTGTTTGCAGCCTGCTTGTTAGAAAGGTTCATATCTTGGGATCGGGTTCTCACCCTTCCTCCTCAGTGAGGAGGAGTCATTCAGTCAGGATCATCCTCAGTGGGTTTGACAGTGTCGCCGTGGGAGACCTTCTTGTGAACCAGGGAAGCCTGGTGGGTGGTGGAGTGGGGCACTGGCCCTGCCCCTGCCCCATCCGGAGCACTGGGCCTCAGCATCCTCAAGTGTATACAGCGAGTGGTTTGAGAGAGAGGTTGCTCCCACCCTTGCGATGATAGGCTCGTTGCAAATCCTGTTATCATCACTGTTTCTCAGGTGGAGAAACTGATGAACCAGTTAAATATTCGGATAACAAGAAAAACATGTGTTGGCATGGAAAAGTGATTATTTCCTAAGCTACTGAGTACAACACAGCTGCACTGGCAGTTTTCACTCTGTTTTCTTGTCAATTTTTGTTCTTTCAGGAAATCTTACAGAAACATGAAGCCCTCCACCACCTGGGACTCAGAAACTCACCGGGGGCTGACTGCGGCAGCCGGAACGCCCAGGTGTTCTGCAGATGTGAGCGCTGATCCTGCACTCACCAGCTGGAGTCCCGACCAGATGCAAGGCTTGTGCTTCGGCTCTGACATCTCTGAGCACAGAGGGGTCACTCTCTGATCGGCCACAGGGCGGTTGTTGACACTGATGTCTGATTGCTTCACACAGCCAGTCATCTTAGGGAGCTGCAGTGGGGAAGGTCAAAGCTGGGGGTGCAGGCTTCCTGACTCTTGAATTGGGACTCTAGATGGGGGACTCACTTCTATAGCCCCCACCATCCCTACAGGCACCTCCACCTCCACCAGGACACTGGGCCTCAGCACGTTCACCTTTACGGTGAGTGAGCTGGAATATCTTCTTGCAAAAACACTGATCTGCAGGAACTCCCTGCAGTGCAAGTGAGCAGAAGGGGACTCCACGAGAAGTCTCTAGTGGTAGCCCTCCATCAGCCCATACCACCATGGCCTGGCTTTTCCTAAAGGCTTTATTGGTGGGGGTGACTTTCTTGGGATGTCTTTATCCTCTTGTGAATTTTTGCTTCAATGAGGAAACAAGGGGCCAGAAACCGAATTTCGTGATTGTTCTGGCAGATGACATGGGGTGGGGTGACCTGGGAGCCAACTGGGCAGAAACAAAGGACACTGTCAACCTCGACAAGATGGCTGCTGAGGGCATGAGGTGAGTCTTGAGGGTGCTAAGTCACTTTCTTTTTGGATGTGTCACTCTGCTTCTTTTGGGGGGAGGGGGAGGCATAAAGCATTTAAAGGGCAATTAATGGGCCTATGTTGATTTGATTATGTGATTGATTAGTTTGGTGTGAAAGCAGTACAGGCTTATAGAGAAATCCACGACAAATTGGTGGTCCATCCATCCATCCATCCATTCGTTCTTCCATCTGATAATATTCAGAATCTGTGTGTGTTAGGGATGGGATGAAAAGCCTTGCCTTTGAGGTACTTCCTGTCTGGTGTGGAGACAGGGTCAGTGGAAAGTAAGGATTGGGACCCAGTACATGAATCTGCATCAGGAATTTCTGGAGTTCCTGGGAGGGTTTGGAACCCAGCCTGGGGGCTCAAGGGAGAAGGAGACCTTTGAACGCCTGAATCGGGGAGGCACAGAAGGCAAGGTGCCTGAGGAGACAGCACTTACGAGGCACACCTACCCCACGGGGTCTGCAAAGGTGAGGAGTGTGCATCTGAATGGATTGAAGTGTTCATAATTATTTTTGTTCAAATGCTTAGCCCCCCTCCCCACATAAATAGAGTACTAGTGTCAGCTTTCAACCCTCTGGATTTTCTTCTCGGGCTGACCTTGACCCGGCTGGCCCGCTCAGATCCCATCTGCCCTGGGTGGACTCCTCCTAATGGCTCAGTGGGATCCCTCTGGCTTGCTAGGGAGGACAAGGCTGGGGCATCTTGTATCCTGGAGCTTTTCCCTGAGGTAGGGGCCCTTGGGATCCCTGCCTGTGGCCACTCACGTTTCCAGTCCATCCTCCGCATCTGAGCCAAGGTAGACTTTGTAGAAACACTTTTCTGCTTCCAGTCATTCAGAGTCATTTTGTGTCCCTAAGGATGAAATCTAAACTCCAAACAGCAGCTCACAGGACCAGCCCGTGCGCCACACCGGTCTCTGCACGGCCCCTCTGGCCTGCAGCTGCTGTCAGTTGCCTTCCTCTCTCTGGGCCTCGCCCATGGGATTAGTTCTTCCTGGCACGCGGTCCACTTTCTCCGTTTAGCTAGTTTCTACTCACTCCCGGGTTCCGATTCCGTATGAGGTCTTCGGGAAAGCCTGCTCTGGCGTCTCAGGTTTACTTTCCCGTCACCCTTGCTGCTCTCCATGGTGATCGTTTAACCATCTGACCCCCTGGCTTGGGTTCAGTAGCATCCCCCCCAAATTCATGTTCACCCAGAACCTCAGAACATGACCTTATTTGATAAGAGGGTCTTTGCAAATGTAATTGCTGAAGGATTTTGACGATGCCATATAGGATTTAGGGTGGGTCCTAAATCCAATGACTAGTTTCCTGATAAGAAGAGGAGAAGACACAGGGAGACACACAGAGGAGAAGGTGAGGTGGAGATGGAGGTGTCCGCAAGCCGAGAGTAATACCAAGGCTTGCTGGCAACCACAGGGAGCTGGGAGACAGGTGTGGAACCGACTCTCCGTCTGAGCTTCCAGAAGGAACCACTCTTGTAGACATCTGGCTTTCAGAATGCTCACCTCCTGAACTGGGAGAGAATCAGTTTCTGTCATTTTAAGCCACCTGGTTTGTGGTGATTTGTTATGGCAGCTGCAGGAAATCCATACACCTCAATTCTAGCTCTGGGCTTCAGGAGGAGAAACGCCTTATCTGTTCTTCCTCCTTTATCTTCCGAGCCCATAGCACAGTGCTTGCACATAGTAGGCAGTTCATAAATCTTTGTTCGTCGATAAATGGGCTTCAGGAGTTCATGATGCCTCGAAATGTCCCCCCAAATTTTCCACACGGGGATTTTTACTGGAGAAAGAGTTAATCCATACCATTTACCAAATCTTCAAAGGGGAATGGGTTGCCAAGTGCTTAGCAACTTCTGCTTTCAGTGTCGAGTGGGTTAGTGGGGAAACGGCAGCCCCATTACTTAAACTGACTTTTGGGAAGTCCTGTCCTTTTTCGGAGCTGTCCCTAGCTGCATGCTCTCACCCTGAGCAGAAGGGGCCTCTCAGGGACCAGATCCAAACACAGTCTGGGGGGCCCTGCTATTTTCTTCTTCCATGAATGAAAATATTTTCTCCATGTGAGCCTTGTGACAGCCCGGCAGACAGCCCTCTGGCCTGAGGCTTCTCACTGCGCTTTGTTGACAGGAAGGCGGGCTTCCTGTGAGGCTGGGGATTAATCTTTCCCTGGCTTCTCCCCTGCCTACTCGTAGCCAGTGGGGAACCGTGACCTTCAGATGAGAACTCTCGTAGTGCCAAACAGGGTGACCTGAGAACGTATCTTTTGTGGTTTTTTTTTTTTTTAAATGAGTGTCTTCGTGTCCTCGGACTCACACGACAAATTGCTGCAAACTGGATGGCTTAAAGCAACACAGATTTATCCCCTCTGAGTTCCAAAGCCTGGAAATGCTAAATCGAGGTGTCGGCCAGGTTGATTCCTTCTGGAAGCTTTAAGGGCATGTTGCTCCGTGCCCTTCTCTTCTGTCTTCTGGTGGTTGCCGGCAGTCCTTGGCCCGCCTTGGTGTGTAGAGACGGCACTCCGTTCCCTGCCTCTGGGGTTACATGGTTCTCCCTGCGTGTGCATTTCAAAACTTCTCTCTTTTAAGGATGCCAGCCATTGGATTTAAGACCTATCCTAATCCAGTGCGACCACATCTCAACTTGATTACATCTGCAAAGACCCTCTTTGCAAATGAGGGCACATTCATAGGTTCTGGATAGACATGAAATCTTGGGGGGGGAGGGGCACTGTTCAACCCAGCACAAATAGCTATACTATGTATACTTTAGTCTTCAAAGCAGCAAACATTTACTGGGCACCTGCTATGCTGCAGGCTAGGTTAGGGACAGAGGTAAGGATGGCCTCCAGTGCTTAAAACAATGCCTAGCTTTTGGCGGGTCCTCAAACGTGTTTGTTTACATGTTTGTTCAACTCCTGGATCTAACTTTCTGGACGTGCATAGGTGAGTTCACCGCAGCATGGGGTCTGGAACCAGTCTGCCCAGTTCTGTCACTTAGTAGCTCTGAGGCTCTTGGCTCATAACACTGAACTTTCCAGGGCCTCAGTTTTCATCTTTAAAATGGGACAAAAATGGCCTACTTCATGGATCATTTTGAGGAGGACATGAGTTAAGTCATGTAAGGCAGTAGAAGAGTCCCTGGCACATATCAGTGCTTGGTGGCTGTTAGCTGTTATTGTCCCCCATGACACAGGCCCTGCTGCCCTGCTTTCCTCCATGTCCCCCTGCCCTCGCTGGGCCTTCTCTGTGCCCTGACCCCCACCCCTTCCCAAGCTGGGCCGAAGCACTTGGCTGCCCTCTCAGAATCTGCTTGGTCCCACCACCATGCACACTTAGTTTTGTCATCGTCGTTGTTGTTGTTTTAACCTGGCCATGATACATGCAGTTTGCCAGATGAGTGGACCACTCACACCGTAATCGATGCCATCATTTGTTGCAGAACAAAGGAGTCCTTGGGAGGAGAACAGAACCTTCAGTGTCTGTTTGGTGTCCTCTCTCAGGGTTCCTCAGCTCCACTTACATGGAGATAAATAGGATTGTGGTCTAAAACCTCAGGGCCTTGAGCTCATTCTCAGTACCTCAGAGCATCCACATCGCATATCGCACGGGGGAAACAGGCTCAGAGAGAAACGAAGATTTTACCGTTACAGTCAGCTCTCTAATGTGTGGGGGCAGGTAGTCTGGTTTGCAGATTCACCCCGTTAAAAATGATGACAGATCATTGTGGGGAAAAGTGAAAGCTGCCACAAAGCAGCAAATGTCTGTGCTGTGGTTCGGGGCCCCCTGGTGTCAGCGACTGCCCGCGTGTGCACAGGGAGGCTGCAGTCCTCTTGCGCTTGTTGGCAGGTCCACCAACCAGCACGTTCTGCCCTTGACCTTGTGGGCTGTCGTTTTGCCAGGGTCCCGTGCACCTCTGAGCTGGGCGGTGCTGGGGAACATTTCAGAGTTTAAAAAAGATATGAGAACCTGAGAAAGTCAAAGTGTTGGAATTTTAATGAAAATGCCAGGGACTTAGTAACCAACGACACCTTAAGCTTTCCAAGCAGTTAGAAGACTTGCATGACAGCATAGGATGGAGGAATGAATTGCTTGTGCTTTAAGGGAGATGGCAGATGCATTTCACTGGCATCCCTTCCAGCTCTTCAAGCAGCCTGAAAAATATGGACATCATTTTAATCATTAGGAGAACCCGGTGAATAATCTTGATAATTCAGTACTTGTTTGATTCTTGTGGGCAGCACATCCAGGCAAGGCCAGTGCTGGGTTCACTGGTATGAACATGCAGTATGTTCCTTGAAAATCCTCAGGTTACGAAGAAACTTGCATGAAGTCTCCTTGTCTGGGTGACTGGATTCAGGCAGTGGCTGAGGGTGTCCACACTGGGGTTTGTGCACTTGAGTAGTCACGGCCCACAGGTGTCTTGGAGGGAGGAGAAGGAAGACCAGTGATACAGAGGAGTGGCCCCAGCCAGCAAAGCCCGGATTCTGCCCACTCACGCAAATCATCTGCTAGGCTGGCTCAGACGTGAGGTTGACTGTATATTGTAAATACATTTACGTGGGTGAATTGACTTGCAATGTGTTAGCTTTGCACCTTGAATTCTCTTTCTTCCTGCTTCACCTCTTCTCTGTCAACAATTTAATTTTGTGTAAAGTCAGTGCTATCACTAAGAGTTACAGGCAGGGGCTTAGCTGGAAATCAAAGCTCAGTGTTCAACACTGGAAGGTCAGACGCTCTCAGGGACTTGAGGCTGTTTCTAGAAAGGGCCTCAGCAAGGAAGGACTTGAACTGTCTGTTCAGCTGAACACCTGATTTGATTTCTGTTCTCAGCATTGGCTTTTGCAAAAATTCATCCATCCTTTACCTTTCAGGACTTCCTCAGCCATCCTGCTGCCCCTGGGATTCCGCAGTAACCAGGGGAAGGTGAGAGCCAGGCTGGCACTCGGAACTGCAGGGAGCTGTGGT